ATAATCTGTTCAATCATCCTGTAGATAAATATTCAATACTGTACAGTTGTTAGGATAGTAAATTTGTTGATTCATGTCTGCTACTCAAGAAGGAGGTTCAGGATGGGCTCTATGTGAGATCAACACTCAGTCGCTACTATTGGCTTCTGGAAATGTAGCTGCAAAAAAAGAAGTATAAACAAAGTTCTGAGGTCCATGGAAAAGCAGGTTTCATCTGAAACCAGAAGAAACAAATTTGCACATAATACAGCCAAGGTTGAATTTTAGTCATTGATCCACATACAGAGAAAATATGTTTATGTATGTACTGTATGTGTGAAAGGGTAGGATGTTATCAATTTTGGGAAGTAAAACAGAAATCTAACTATTGCCAATAGTTTTTAATAATTTCTGGAGAATAGCCATAATCCCCAACAACATTCTAGTAAAGGACCCCAAAATTTGATTACTATCCCAAATTGAACACAAAACCTGAGCTTGGTGGAATACAGCTATACAAAACTAGTAAAAACTTTTAGTATACGTTTGGATGGAAACCAAATTTGGAATAGGTTAGTTTATACCATCTATTTTGGTATTCTGCTTATATTATATAATCTTTTAAAATAAAGAATAATTAAAATAAAAAAGAGAAAAAAAAATCTGCTTACAGTCCCAGCATACTACATCATTCACATGCTCATTTGCAAGCATCAACAATAAAAAGTTCAGCTCTAAGTTGTTGTTGTTGTTGTTTAGTCGTTAAGTCGTGTCCGACTCTTCGTGACCCCATGAACCATATTGCGCCAGGCCTTCCTGTCCTTCACTGCCTCCCTGAGTTTGCTCAGTTTCATGCTCATTGCACTCAGCACACCATGCATGTCTTGATACCCGTCTCCAGATTACACATGGCAGTATCTGCTTTCTGCTGGAAAGATACATTCAGTTATACATACCTGTACTGAAGTATCTACTGAGTCGAGACATGGGTTGAAGGTTTTATTTTGGTTTAGATGTTCTAAAGAAAAATCCAAATAACTAGAATGAGATATTGGCCGTAAGTATGAAAGCCCCCTTCATCCCATCAATGGTCTTTCTGGATACATAAGTAACAGTTCCTTGTATTTCATCAGCGTTTTGGGTCTAAGCGCTGGAGACCAAGTTTTGACTCTCAATCAGCAAACCTTCCATGCTGCCTCTGCTTGCCACAGCTTTCATCTTGCTCATGAATACTTACCATCCCAGGAGGAGACTGATGCTTTATTCATGATGCCCAGACCCCCTGAGGGTATCCATTCTTCTTCTCCCTCCTGTCCATACCAGATGCCAGCATCTACAGACCAGCTGCAAGAAAAAACACAGGACACTATAAAAATCCAATGTAAAAACCTTACTCCTGTGGCACAGGTGATTTTCTCCACTATTGTGCATGGCACTTAGGGCTACCAACTCTTTGGTTCTCTCATAAAGGTAGCCCCTTATATTTTAAATAACCCCAAATAACCTCCATACATTGCTCTGAAATATTTCAAGACTTCTGGATTTTTCTCATTAGGGCATCCTTCCCAGTCAGATGGTCCAGGGTCCATTATCTCCTCTGCTGCTACGTACACTTGGACTTCCTGGGTTTCTTACCTTTCCCTAGACTTCTTCCGCTTGGCTCTGATGAGGAGCACAGTCAGGATGATACTGACCACAAAGAGCACTGCCAGTGGAAGACCAAGGCCCAGAGCGCTCTTTTGGATGCGTAATTGGCAGTGACTATCCATATATAAAAATGTGTCCAAATTATCACAGCTATGGGAGAGAAATGGAAAAAGGTAAGACACTCTTCCTCTTCTCCAAACCCCTCAGGCTTCCTCTGGACAGTTACTACTGTCAGAATATAGAGACAATAGTGTAATCGACTCAACAACCTGAAAAGGCAGTTTCATGAATCTGTAAGTGCAATGTTTATAGTGTAGCCTTTATTGCTTTTTTTTCCTTTTTTTTTTGTGGTAATACATTAACTTGAAAAGCAGTGGTATTGCAGAGTCTGATAGCAGTCCATGGGGAGATGGATAACCAAAAAAAAAGGGGGGGGGGACTTTTCAGTTTAGCAAAATGAAAGCGAAAGTAGGGAAGGCTAATCATCACTAATTGCCACTGTAGAAGAAAGTCTGGCACCAAATCCTACCTTGGGGAAATTGCATGTTTAGTTGTGCCAAATTAAAAACTATGTCTAAATCCTCACATCAGGCTAAACCACTGTTTGCTTATAAGAAATTTCCTGATTAGTACTTCACTCATTCAAGTCACGCCCCACCTCTCCAAACTATGCTGCTAACCTTGCAGAATTTATGTTAGTACATAAAGAGAGCTTCTTTAAGAGCTTTTTAATCCAAATACCAAACTCCCTCTCTTTCTTTTCACAAAACTTGGCATTCCAATTAAATTACATTATCTTACTTTTCTTATTCTCTGCATTTTCATAAAGGTTGTACTTTTAATTTGTATTTTGTTAGCAGTCTTGTTAGTAATTATCATGCAAAAGTTAAGAAAATTGTGGGTTCTGAATGCAAAAAAGTTTGGGAAGCTGGGAGAACACCACCATTATAAGTGCCATCGGAATTAATAGCTACTTCTTTTTTTTCGTCAGGACATTAATTTAGCAGATGTTGAAAAAGCACAAGCAAGAAGAAAAGCAGCAAAAAAGAAAAATGTAAGGAAAACAAAAAGATTTACAAGCAATATAAGTTGAAATAAACACATTTGAAATGACATAGGATTACTGCTGCATATTAAAGTATCTCATATCAGTTTAAGACTTCAGAACATTTTAAAAATCATGTTGATATTCAGTGACTAACAATAGCCAATATGATACGAATGATAACTTATAATGAAGAGTTAACAAAATTTTCTGTCTAACCAGAAAATCTTTAACAAATCAGGAAAAAAATTATTCAGGCCTTATGTTAAGAGAAACCAGACCTCAGATGTGGTACTCACCTATATATAACATGGTAATCTATAAATGATTTCTAATTTGAGTTAAATTCTGTGCCAGACTTAGTTTTCAAATACAGACAGTGACATAGATGCACGTTCCCACAGTTTAGTTTGCCATTCTTCTACAGAGGGAATTGTTATTTCAATCTCCAAGTAGTTGGTGGGCTGGATCTAGGGGCTCTTTTGCCACAGCTACTCCTTCTATTTACTTACATGCACTGGGGGCCTATTTCAGAGATGCGACACATGCCGTTGAAGCAGTTGATGGAGTTTGGGGTATCTTTAGTGCATCTGGAGACACAGCGCAAAACACCTGTTGTTGTATTGGCATAATAGTAGTCTGCAAACTGCATACTAATTTTTTTGCAATATTCTAGAAGAGAAAAAGAGGCGCTTATCATCCATGAACAATATGATCAGTACAAACAAAAGGACTATACCAAAATATGATCTGAAGACAGAAGATGCAGCAAGCTGAGTTATGGGATTAACACTGGAAGTGGGCATAAAGAAATTGGAGGAGATCCACCCATCCCCTTACTGGAGCTTACCTTCTGCAGAAAAAGATGAGGAGGTGCTAAGAACTGGATTAGGCATAGGAAGGAAGCACAAGGATTCTGGAAAAGAATGATATAGTTGTATTAAGGATGATTAGGCTGTTTCTTCTCTGAATTTATCTCTTCCAAGATTCTTCTGCATCTCATAAAATGCTGGTATTAAATATAAGGATAATCTTTTTGAAGCATTTCTGTGGTGGAATAAATTTTCAATGAGATGTCAAAAGTTCACCAGTGTTAAGTTTAAAACCAGATGTAATGACAGAATTAGAAAATATCTCTGAATCAACTTGACCAAATTTCGGGATCAAAATAAATCTAAACATTCTGAATGTTGTAAAAAAAAACACAACCCAGTATTTTGAGTTTGGTAAATATTCTTTGAGCTACAGTCCAGGAGAGCATCAACAAAATTAATATCTTCAGTCAAACCTTGCTTTGTTTCAACACCTCACATTTCACACTTGATATCTCAATACTTAATAGTTTCTTATCTTAAGTGATCCCAACACCTAAGAACCAACCAAAAATGAACAGAAAAGTAAGGTCAGCAGGCAGGAAGGCAAGTATATAAGTGACTTCAAAATGCTTTGCAGGTTTGGAGGGTAGAAACAGTGCCACGTGGAAATACCAATAGGCAAAAAAGATCAGAATTACTAGCTGGATTTAACTGGATGTGAAGGTGCAGCCTTGAGGAATATTCTCATGAAGCATATTTGGGTATATCTTCTGTCTAACTGATGTGCATCTTCTTATGCATAATACATATTTATATTTACAGCTATAGTAATAGTGATTTGTTTAGCTATAAAGCTGTAAGCCTCTGGTGCTCATCTTAACCAAAGAAAGCTACACTTACTTGCAGAAATAGTCCTGAAATTCCCGTTTGTCTCTCAGGAGTGGTAAAAATATTCAAACCTTTCACTCAGATCAAAGAGTTTTACCCAGCCAGCACTTACCCAAAGTGTCATTACACTCCTGGGTGGAATTGATGGTTTCCAGTTTCTGCTTCACTGAATTTGTAATAAACTCCTTCTGCTTCTCAATCATGGACAATTCATTTGTTATTACAGTTTGGAAGATGACTTCATGGATCACAACAACGCTGCCTTTCCTAAGAGAGCAATGAAGGAAGTGTAATATCTGCTGAGCCATCATTTTGTTTCTTGATCAGAATTTAAGACATATGCTTCTAGCCTTCCTTCCTCCAACAAGCTCAAGATGGGATATGTGGCTTTCTCCCACTCAATTCTTTTTGAGCCAGGGCCATCAGGTAAGCCTCATGATTGTAGTTTCAACCTGGGTCCTTAATCCTAGTGTAATTATATGTTTCATGGTCATCACTGTGTGAAACAAGCAGCACAAATCTCTCTGGGTTAGTCAGAAGTAAAGTTTTATTGGAAGCATTTGCAAAGGCTGGGGGGCTTCGTTGCAAAAAAAAAGCCACCCCCCCATACACACTCCGGCCTAATTATACACATTCCCGATTGCAAGTCCCTCCCCTTTTCCCCATTGGCTAAGGTACTCTGGGTGTACAGTCTTTCCGGCCACTCTATGATTTCTCCCTGGTCCCTCCCACCTCATCTATGGTAATTGCTCAAGGTTTCAGCTAATTGCATTATACTGATGAAGATTGCTCCAAATTAATTTGC